CTAACCTCTGATTCCCACCTTCCACACATGAATGCAAACACACACACATGCACACACACAGTGATTCACTGGCAGCAGCAGAAGGGGATTATGGGAGTGGATGGTAGATGAACAGCAGGCTGGTATGAGGTAAAGATCAGACATCATGAAAGCAGCATTTTAAATCCACAGCTACATATTTATTCCAGATGTCCAGGAGCACGAGGACAAAATGAAAACAAACTACTGCTGAATCGACACCTAGTGATGTCGGCTAACGTGCAAAGTCACTGTTATTAACACCAGAGTGCTGCTCTGTCGACTGCGGTGGAGGGTGTGCTGATACCAACCATGATCACACTGTTGCCTTCTGCTTTCAAATCTAAGCTCAGTTTATACATTTATGGTTGTTTTTCCACTTCACTGAGATTCTGTTTCATTCAGACAACTGAATTCTCTTTAACCAATATTTGAATGTTTAGATGACGCAACAATAAAACAGCTGGTGTTCGGTTTGACCATTGAAACAAGCAGTATTTTTGATGAGGATCTCTTAAATTTAAAGGGTTGTGCTGAGTGGGGCATTTTATAGTGGAAACAAATTTGTGAAAAACGGATCGTTTTTCAATTCTAGAAATTACATTAGCATCAATAACAAATCAGGTACAACTATATTAATGTAGAGGAAAAAAAAAACAGGCCAATATAAAGTCAGCCTATTGAAAGATCTGCAATGATCTAAAACTCAGCCGGTGAAACTGTTGCACTCTGTGCATCAGTCAGATACTACAACAGATATTTAGCTTCTTGATAACAGTATTTTAGCACGATTCAGCTTTCAAAAATACCACAGAAATACTACCAGGCATTCAGTAACTATTGGCTACACACATTTTAAATGACTTTTACTCCGTCAATGTGAACTGTATCTACAGATAAAAACTTGTTGTAATGAAAAGAAACACAACGTGTACTTCATATTATTGTACATACTGTACAGCTTCAGATAGTTTATAGCTGGTGAAGCTAACGGAGCAGCTCTGAAACTGTAAACCAAAAGAAAATGTTGATATTTGATTGTTTGTTTTCATAATTAATCCCAGAACAAACAAACATGGTTCCAGCCTCTTTCACATGAGAATTTCTTGCTCTTTTATATCACTGGACATATCTTTAGCATGATGGGGTTTTTGAGGAACACGATGTGCAGTGGTCACCTTGGAGCCTGGAAACCAGCGATCAGCAGGTGAAGTTAGGTCACAGCGTATATGAACTGCTGCATCTTGCAGCTGTTCACTGACCATCTCCTGTAAACCTGGTGCTCAGAGTGTGAGCAGGCAGCGAGACCGAAACATCGGACTGATGAACCTAAGTTTCCATTGAGAGAGAATAAATAAATAAATAAAATTCAATACAGCAGTTTAATGTTGGCTCATTAAATCCACTTCTAGTCCCATTTACAGCTGGAAGTGATGACATCCGTCCGTCTGTCCCACAGTAAACTAGTATCTCTATGTCTGCGGGACATTAGCTGTGACTGTTTATGGTGCCCTCAGGATAATTCCTAATGACTGTAGAAACCTCCTGAACCAGTTTCTTGTTTTTAATCAAAGCCACCGACATAATGACAGTTGCCTCCAGTGAATGACATCAGATATTTTTGCTGTCACAGCAGCGTTGCTTGATGAGATCACTCCGATGCCAGTGGAATGCCTTTCACACAGCTCATTTTCTGCTGTTTTGGGTTTCATTTTGTACAAAAACACAGTTCCAGGATTAAAACAATGTAACATTTAGTACAAGCTCTTATCTAGCACCATCATCAGGTCACAACTTCCACCTGTACACAACAGCGCAGGCGAGGTACTCTGTCAGTACTGTGACTGTCTTCCCGTGACTCTCTGCCGCACGTCTCCAGGCTGCGATGTGAACCCATAATCTGTGCCATTACACTGATGTGAGCGGTTCGGGTTTCAGACAGGGCGTATCTGATGTCCGGTTCTTTGGAACAAAACATGGAGGTAAATTAACAACAGAAGAATGTTAAATGGAGCTGTCACCTCCACACTCTTCATCCTACTGAGCTAAATGGAAGTGGAAGGTGCAGAGCAGCAGTTCTGGATGTTTCTTAGACCTCTAAAAATGACTCCAAAGACACCATAAGATAAGTCACTATTTGGTTCTGCACACATTACTTATCTTAAAAAGGGTTGGGAGACACTGGCCTACAGGGACATCCTTAGGTGGTTTGACCTGACAGGATGGTGTGTAACCAGATGTTTTGGTCACCAGTATATTTTTTTGGTATGTAGTCTCTGGGTTTCCAGTGTGGATGGTGACTGACCACTGAGAAAAGTGACACCAAAACCCACAGGATTCCACGACTTTACCAAAGAAAAGTCTGTTAATGTCCCTACACACATGGAAGAACCGCTTATCAAACGACAGGCCTCAACTATCGAAGATGTGGCAACAAATTCATTTGAACAAAGTCCTGACAACAGTCGACTAACCAGGCTCAGCATATGCAAGACAGGTGATGAAGCATCAGCCTCTTCGTTTTCTAAGAAGCTAATTCTGTGTATTAAAATGGGCTTTTGGGTTCCTCACTGTGGTCCGCTCACTTGTTCCACCGGAACTAAAAAGGGAGCGAAACATGGCGTGAAAACTCTTAAATCGACAACATGGACTCCTCTTTTTCTGCGAATCAAGGATGTGAATGTGTGTGCGTTTCACACACCAAACCCATTTCCACTCTCCCAGCTCCTGGTTTAATGATGGGCTTTAACAGCGTAGCTCGCTCAGATCTCCAATTTTTACGCAGAAATGTGCGGAACGGACTCTGTTCGACCTCCCCCTCCTCATCTTTTTTCTTCCATTTCATCCTCTTCCTCTCCCCGGTGACTAATCCTCCACCTACCACCCCCCGACCCCCCTGCAGAGCTGTGGACGACCGTGACGGTTGTTGCTGTTGTTGTTTTATTTGGTCAAAATTGGACAGATGCGCCTCCAAATTATAGAAGACAGAGAGGAATCCCAGAGCTTGGTATCAAACCTCAGACCTCGCCCCTCGACACCACAGCGGCAGAAGCTCGGGTGACAGCAGGGCCCGCTGTCCAAACCGGCCGCAAACCTCAGGGAGATTATCTCCACCTCAGCCACTTCTGCTGCAAAATGAACCTGAATATAAGTTACAGTACAGAAATCGGAGCAGAGGTCTAATACAATGCACTGGGGAAACCTCCAGTTTGACCAAAAACCATAAACGAAACCTCTGAGGTTTTAATGAGCTTCGTGTTTGTAAAACATTTTTCTTACAATAAAATGGAGTTTAACTGCAATTTAGAGCCAGAAACAACAAGGCTGCATCTGTTTTAATAGAAACACCTGCTGCACCTTTGTATTTTGACCAAAAACACCAGCAGTACAGCAGGTGGATATGCCTGTTCCTCCAGGAAATACAATAACCTGCTCAGCCGAGCTCCGTAACACCTCCGGTAAGGCCGGGTGCGATTGTGACGAGTCTTAAATTTCAGGCTGAGTCAGACATCAGAGCCATCTAAGTGTTTTTATCTCTCAGGTGTTTCACAGAAGTAATCAGAGTGAGATGACAGGCGAAGAAGGAAACAGGAGCAGAGGTCAAGTGTGGGAACGCCAGTTTTCTCACACTCACTTAGAACGTCACCAGAATGTTCGCACTGTGTTTCTGAAAAGGTGCATTTAAAAGCAACCATAGCGTTTACCACTACAGCTCACTCTCTGTCAGGGAAAGGCAGATGCAGTTTGCATGTAAATAGCCAGCGTCTCCACCCTCCCTCTCTCCCTCTCTATCATGTAGAGCAGGTCCGACGCCCGCCCACCCTCTTTCTGTCCCTCCACCACATCAGAGGGAAGGAGGAGGACTGGAAAGCAGGAGACTGGAGGGACGGGACAGACTGGATTCCCTGGTGGTGACACACGCCTGCTCACTCAGCAGCAGGACATATTTATTGTCACCTGTCCTGCTCGTCCGTCTTTACAGTTTACATTGAAACTCCACCGCCTCTATTTGAATTTCAGCTCTTGTTAACAGCACATACAGCATAACAGTGCTGGCTCTGGGGGTGGGGGGTGCTAAATGTGATGCTACAGGTGCCCAGGAGGCCTCAGGCGCTGTGTGAGGGTTCACAGAGAAATGTCTGTGGAGAGCCAGAGATATGCTCCTTGCCTATACGACTGGTTTATGAGCAGCCTCCGATAAATGGAGTGTTGTATTGTAGCTTTAAGCAGCCCCAGGAGTCCCTGAAGGCAGATTACCTCTAATATTACAGCGGGAAGAAAAACCTCTGATTATAATGACGAGCACTTGCACTGCCTTTTATATTCTTCTCTATACAGACGGCGTCCCTGCAGAACTCTTGCAGCCTCAGATGGAGCCATAATGAAACCCTACTATTATGATGCTCCTATATGTACTATAGGGAACCGTGCACACATCCGACAGTACCCTGCTTCTGAAACGCATAGCACAGGATTACTATAGTGTTTTTTTCTGTTTCAGAGAGGTTAGCAAAGCAGGAGTGTCCCACGGGATGCTGTATTTTATTACTGACAGCCATGGAGGTAATGTTGAGCACTGAGGAGATCGATACGGATCAATACCACTGTAGAGTAAAATAGGTAAAATACCTATCAGAGGAGATTAGATGCTGAATATGGACATTCATTCGCTCTTAATGGGTTTTCTTTGCCAACAAGTGTTTTAAAAAGAGCTGCTGGATTGTTAAAAACACCTGTGCGCCTTCAGAGGGCTATCCTCCATCGAGTATGTATGCTTTTTAATTAAGGCGCAAGTGCTCAATCGGGCGAAACTGAAAAATAAAGTGAATATACGCTTTCTATTCTCGTGCGTAAAGCGTCTCCTACACGCCAGCAGACTGACAGGAGGATTTAGGTGAAAATATTTGAAGCATTTATTAGACATGGTGTTATATAAAGGTCTAGATTTTGTGTGCACCGGTTCTCTGGAGAGAAGTTCTTACCTGGACCGGGTGAGAGCCGCGCGGTTCCCCAGCTCTGAGCGTTCCAGCCCGGCTACAGGCTTGGCTCGTCCTCGGTACCCAGTCGGAGCCTCTCCAGACCTCCGGGGAAAAAAAAAACGAAATTAACAATCCACACTGTCGAAAAAGACCTTAAAACAACTCAAACACTCCAGCTGGACAGGTGGGGATAATTATTCCTCTAATTCCACTCACAATTTCTGTCCACTTTTACTGTCGTGACCAGCGCCGTGCGTCAGCCCGGCGGTCCTTCCTCTCTCCGGGGAAACGGGAAGACCCGTCCGGACAGAGGGTCACTCACTCACTGCTACTCCGTAGCAAACGTTACCACCGGGCGGACTGCACTGACAGCAGCATCCTCCACTGATGGCACGCTTGGGGAGGTAGTCGGGTGGAGGTGACGGTGGTGTAAGAGGACGGAGCACCGGGACAGGGGAGGGAAGAAGGAATAGAAACGTTTAAAAATCACCCAAGCAAGACGCACTAGGTCCGTGAGTTGCCAGAAGCGGTCGTCCGGTTAGTTTCCACTCCGACGCGCAAGCACCGCTCTGCCGCCACAAACTCTGTCCACCTCCCGGTCCAGCACGGAGCAGGTCGCGCGACTGCACCGTGTGTGATGAAAAAGTGGAGTGAATCCAAAAGACTGCGCTCGCGCTTGCCATCCCTCCCTCCTTCCCTCTCTCTCGCTCGCTCACTTCCACGGTCTCTGCTAAGCTCTCTCCCCCTTCCTCCTCCCCCCTCACCCCCCACCCCCCAATACACTCCATAGCCCGTACCGGAGAGGCGGAGCGAGCATCCACCCCACCAAATAACTCTTCGTAGATTTCCCAAACTCACCGAAAATTAATCAGAAAAGAAGAGCAGCTGCTGTTACAGGGATGAAAATACCCACATATACTATATAGGAGAATGTGTATGCGCCATACTCATAAATGAATACGGTCAAAACCTCAGCTGTTCGTTTCCAGCCATGGGCCGATATATACAGCACATATGTACAGTAGATTAATGTCTCATGTGTCTCTTTTTTCTGTCATCTCTCTCTCCCCTTGTCTGCACCTATAAAAGGTCTCTTTGCCTTTCTGTCACCCAACTCTGTCCTGCCACAGAGGCTGGAAGCGGCCGTCTCTCGCGCTCTGAGCGCCACCTACAGGTGAGAAGCGGCACTCGTGCGGCAGAGCTCGAGCTCCACCAGAGTTGAGCGGAGACAGCAGGGGAAATATAACAAAATGGAGTCTATAGTGTAAAATATACTGATATTTATTGGACATTATGGCTGTTATTACAGCAGTGCCTGTTATGGTGGTGGAGGGAGCCTGTTCTCCAAAGCAGCTTAGTACACAGTGATATTACACACAACACATATGGATTATGCTTTTGCTCATGACTGCCTCAGTTTCAGTGCCTCTGCTTAGTGAGCTAATCCAATGCATCATTCAGAAAGAATTAAAATCAAGTTCTTTACGATTTATTTAATCTGTTGCCTGTATCAGGACGCATCACTGCAAAACTCTCAATCCTATCAAATCACATTTCCTAAGAGAACACCAGTCCAAATACCAATGCATTCTAAATATTATAATCTCTAATTATTGGTAAGAATTTTCCATAAGAGGAAAAAAAAGAAAAATGAAGCTTGACTTTAGACAACATTTGAAATAAGCTGCAGCTTTTGGAACATAACACTTTATGGGGGAAAATGACTTTATAAGGAGATTATTTTGCTGGATACACTGACATATAGGCCCGGCTGTTGCATTATAATTTCACATGTCTAAATAATCCTGCAAGTATTTCAAGCATCGGGTAAACTACACTGTACATGACTTATTCTTTATAAAAAGAAACTGTGTTACTCTCAATGCTGGTGAATACATGAAGGGGAGGAGTGCAAGGTATTATGAACAAAAGTAAAAGTATTCAGAATGAAGAATGGCCCTTGCAGCGTACACACACTGTATATACAGTATTATGATTAGGTTACAGCTGTTGCATAATTAATGTAAACGGAGTGTTATTGCACTGGTGGCTAGTTTCTCTACTGATCATGGTTTGTATGCAAAATAAATGTAGTTGAGTAAAATGTATTATTTCCCCCCCGACACAGAGCAGAAGTATAAAGTAGCATAAAAATGTAAACACTCAACTGAAGTATGTTAAAACATTTCTCTCCAACACTGTGAAACTGAGTGAAGCATGGCGTGTTATTATGTAAATTAGAAAGTGGTTCACCCTTGTTACAGAAACACACAGAGCAGGGACTTTGTTTGCACTAAATGAT